TTTAAATTACATACATACATCTGTTTTGATTTTACCAAAACTGAAGTGTAGTGGTGTGCCGTAGTGTAAGAACAAGAGTTAGAAGCAGAAGTGTTGGATTCATGTCCTACCTACAACATTCATTTCTTTGCTGTGTGATTTGGGGCAAGTCTCTTAGTTTTTTCATCTGAAAGTTAGGGATAATAATAGTTAAAGAATCTACTTCATTGGTCTGTTATGAGGAAAGCATATTGTAAACCTGGAAGTGCTACAAAATGTGAACTATTATTAATATAGCTTCATAATATAGTTAGTGCTTATAGATATATGTAGATAGTAGTAACAGTCACATATGTACTAAAAAGCAGTCTCTCTTTAGGACATTTTAAAATCAGTTTTTCTTTAATCATGTGACATATCAAGAGTTTCAGCAAAATAGACATACACCAAAATGACAAATACAAGATAATAAGTAGTTTATTTTTCTTTATTAAATGGTTCTTGAAAAGTTTTTGTGGCCTTGAAAAACCTCTTTTCAGGGCCAGAGAAGTCCACCTTTTTAGTACCAGTGCTCTGTTCATGAGCAGGCTGATTTAATATAGAATGTTTTTGAGTCATACTGATACTTCTAGAAGAGTATAAAAATAGTGATGGTCATTGATGACCCACAGTGCTGCTAATCAAAGAGCTGCATATGAAATACAGAATTCTTTTACTTTGACACATATGCATTTTGGTAGTTGTGGAATAATTGCTAAATTTTAAAAAAATTCTAAAGGAAATAAATTTAATGGAGTCATGTTAAATAGTCAAGTTTTAGAAACATCAATCTGTAAAGCTGTGGAATATTGTCCTTGTTGATAATGTATGGGAATGTTATGTGGAAATAATTAATAGTTTTATACTATTGTTAGCCTTCTTGTAGATAGAAGTTAGCAAAAAGCTTTAAACTATGAACTTAGAGTATAAGTGATGAGTTTTAAAATTTTCTTAAATTTAATTTTTAAATTTATAAATTATTACACCCTGCAATTCTGTAAGTCTCTATAAATAATTATGTTGGATATACCTATTTCATTCTGTTGGACCACTAAGAATTATTGTAGCATAGGTTGTGGATAAGCATTATGCATTTAATTTATTAAAATATATTAACTGTATATTTCCCTTAATCATATAATAATATAACAATAGTAATGAAAGTTAGAATGCTACTTACAAATAATACCAACTGTTAGGAAATGCAGTTTAATAGATGCGCCAGTTTCCCATGATAGCAGCCATTAACTTCTTAACTTCTAATAAATTGGAATGCTTTTCTATTTAATGAGCGTAGTCACCTATATTTTAATTAAGTTGACTAAGTTAAATATAATTTAAAAGTATAATATGAGGTCTTCTTTCTTTTTCTTTGATGAAAGCCACTTTTTGCATTAATGTTCACAAGTTGTACTCTGAATATCAAATGTGATCATTTCAGAGCCTTTTCCTTGGCCTGTACCATGCCATGGTATTACAGTTTAGTAAGCAAATTGAAAAGGCAGTAACAAGTTTGGACCAGATCTTGTGGAGCTTGCTTTTGTAATATTTTCATATATTTTTAGTCTGTATCTATATAGTAGTCCCAGGTCATTTCAAAAGTTAGAAAAAATTACATATTAAGTTCTGACCTTATAATTTCTTATTTATGGCCTTAGGCATTTGATCATTCAGTAAGCATGTGTTAATTTAATTTAATTTATTAAATTTGTTAATTTATAAGTATTAGATTTGTAAAGACAAAAGTGAAACATTTCCTTTACATTCGTATGTGTGTATTTGTGTATGTGTATATATATGTAATATGCTAATACACATAACTACACTATGTCTGTGTGTACCTATGCATATGCATAAATACATAACACATACACAATACATACAAAGACAATAGATATAAGGCAGTTTTTGAAGGGAAGGCACTAGCAGCTGGGGAAATCATGAGTGGCTTCATGTAGAAGGTGATACTTGAGCTGAGCCTTGAAGAAAACCAGGTATTCTGAGACCGAAGTGATAAGAACACACATTCCAGGAATTGGTAACAGCAAATGCAAAGCCACAAAGATAGTAAATGAAGTATTGTATTTAAAGAACAGTAAGGCTAGTTTGGTCAGACTATGGTATATATGAAAGGAAATAATGTATAATAAGATTTAAAAGGTAGACTGGGTGTAGATTGTTGGAAGGCTTTTGTGAAAGGCAACCAGAGGACTTGATATTTGATTCTAGAGGTGATTGAGAACCATTATAGTTTGAATAGGGGATTGACATGGTTAAACTTGTATTATAGGAAAATGGTATTTTACCTTGCTTAGTTTCCTCATCCATGAAATGGGAGATAGTCTTGAGACTGATGCATCATTAAATATATTATCCTATGATTTTAAATCACAAGTCAGTTTAGTGATTTGAAGGTACAAAATATTTTTACTTCAGCCTTAACCAAATCCACTGCCAGTCCTTTTTTTTGTACTTTAAAAAAACAAAACAAAACAAAACATAATTCTGGTCCTTCAACACGAGATATATTTTGACCAGTTTTTAAAGCTGTGATGTTTCAGGGATTTTGATACAGAATGGCCTCTGCTTCCCAAGTGACAACTAGGAGATAATGAAGAATTTCTGTTTCCGTATCAAACAATTGCCAAGACAGGTTTTCTTTTCTTTTCCTTTTCTTTTTTTTTTTTATGCATGTTAAGTTTGATTTAATGATGAATATGTATGAGTTCTGCTTAATAGTCTTAGGGGAAAATTTAGTCCCCTGAAGACACCAAACTCATTTGACTTTTTGAATTAGCCCCTCTGGCCTAGTCTACTATGCTTGTTTCCTGATTGGTTAGGCTGTACCTGAAAGGTAGGTAGAAAATGAAAATATGTTTTTTATACGTGTTCCTTCAGGGAATGGTCTTTGTGAAGGGAATTTGTGACTATTTAATTATAGTCATACTTCCACTGAGTTTAGTTACAATAAAAATTGGTACTTTGTCTATGGAAAAGCGCCAGAAAAGTAAGTTTTATATATTCCTTCAATATAACACTCTACATGGACTCTGAAACTAGTCTGAATATAGTATTATTCAGGGCTTTTATTTACTATTCTTGATGATTAAGTAAAATAAAGCTCACAGTGCTATATTGTACTTTTGTCCTGCCTTAGGAGAACTTTAAAAGCCATAAGAGGATGACCACCCTAAAGAATCAAGATGAATTAACTCCTAGTTAGCTGGGGTTTTTTACTAACCTGCACTCTATCTTTTATCATGCTAGATAATCATACATCAAACCAGAAATGTATTAGTGAAAATTATTAACACATATATAACCTATATCAAATCACCTAATGTCTTGGAGAGGGAAGGAGAGGGAGAAGGGGAGGGAGAGAATTTGGAGCTCAGCATTTAAAAAAAAATGATTGTTAAGGCAGCTAGGTGGCACAGTGGATAGAGCTCTGGCCTTGAAGTCAGGAGGGACATGAGTTCAAATCCAGTCTCAGACACATGACACTTACTAGCTGTGTGACCCTGGGCAAGTCACTTAACCCCAATTGCCTCACCAAAAAAAATAAAAAATAAAAAATAAATGAATGTTAAAAATTGGTTTTTGCATGTAATTAGGGGAAAATTTTTTTGAAAAGAATTTTTATAATTAAAGATAATTGAATTTCTCAATAATTTCTGTGAATCACCTGATGAAAACTTCTAATGACTCCTGTAGTTTTTGATAATTGAAAACATGCTATCTCTGAAGTCAGCAGAATGAATATAATACCTAGAATGATAACTAAATTATAACTTTGTCTATACCTGAGAAACATTGCCTTTTTCTTTTGTTTCTATTACTAGTATATCTCTGAATGTGAGTTACATAGTTTCCCTGCCATAATCTAGAAATGGGTGTATGTCATGCAAAATTGAGACCAAGACCAGGGGAAGTATTGTATCCTTTTCTTTTTCTGTGTTTCTGACTTTCTTATTTCTCTCTACAACATAGTTCTCTATTCTTTTTCATGCCCCATTTTATTGTTTGGGAGTGGTGTTGAAAACTGAGAAACTCTCATGACGAGTTTTGGTTGTCCTAGCAATATGTTCATTTTCATGTCATTTTAACAACATACCTATTTCTTCATGTATTCAGAGATTTCCAAGGAAACATTTTCTCTTTTTTCCTATTGGTTTATAATTTTGTTGTAGAAATCACTGATTTCAAGTCTCTCCATATACATATTTATAAATGTATACACACACACGCAGAGAATAGTATCTCCCTATCATGGTAGCTGTTTTGTCCAATATTAGGTAATGCTGTCACTCAGCTTTGATAAAATAATACTAAGTCCCCAAAGAAGTCTCTATAATAAAATAAATTAAAATTTAGGCAAGTATTACAGAGTATAATCACTTTTAAATCTGTGAAATATTATGATGTATTTCCCAACTTGAGAGTCAGAATAGCAAAGTGGGTAGAGAACTGATCTCAGAAAAAAAGACCTGGGTTTATGTTCTTCGACATACCTGACTACATATAGGGTGTTCATCTGTCACTGAAATCACAAATCCATTCTCTATTCCCATCCCTAAATCCTAACTCTATCTAGATTTTTTTTTTTATGGTGGCAAAGTCATGTTTGCATAGGATTTTTTTTTACTTTCTGAAATATATCTCGTACTAGATTAATTCTGACTTTAAATATAAATGATAACCTTTTTTAAAAAAATTTTTTAGTGACGTGGTTGGAGTTGAGTGACTTGCCTACAGTCACACGGCTATTGAGTGTTATGTGTTTCAGACTAGATTTGAACTCAGGTCCTCCTGACTCCAGGGCCAATGCCCTATCCATTGCACCACCTACTGCCTCCATAAATGATATTCTAAAACTGCATTTTATTTGATTGGAAATTTCTTTTTAAGAAGTCCTTGCGTGTTTACTCTATGTGGTGTGAAGTTGCTATGCAATTGAAATGGATACTTTTTTTTTTTAATAGAAATGGGTTGATGGAGGGCTTACCAGTAGCCTTCCTATCCTGCCTATTGGGCGAACAGTGACTGTTTCACCTTTCAGTGGTCGATTAGATATCTCTCCAGAAGACAAAGGACAGCTGGATCTATACATTAATATTGCAAATCAAGATATCATGGTAAGCAATTTTTTAGTTATTCAGAGAATTTGAATGATTAATTCTCCCAGGAGTATGCACTACATTTAACAACCTTCATAACCATTTTTAATTTTAGAAAATGTTTATGTTTTGCATATATTAAATAAATAATTTATATATTGCTTCAAAATATTTATAGCAAGCAGAATAAAAATTACTAAATATTCTCTATTTAAGATTATCCTAATAAACCTTATTATCCTTTCATTTAGTATTTTTTAAAATTTCACCTCATTTTTTGAGGCCAGTTTCAGAATCAGTTTTGAATTAGGTCCTTTGTTAAAATGATTGTGATAATAAAGTATATACATATATAAGATCAAATAAAAATCCTTTTGAGTATTAATATAGAAAATATTGGATTGAATTATATTATTTTGTTATTTTTTGTTATTAAATTAATATGTAGTGAGTTTCAGCTGACACGTAAATTCATATCTGCCTTCAGTGTCTCTTATGTCTTATAATTAAAATTTGTTTCTTTTCATTATAGTTGTCTGTGGCCAATCTGGTAAGACTAAATCAAGCTCTTTTCCCACCAAGCCAGAGGAAAATGGAATCATTGTATCAAAATGGATTTGATGATGCTACCACGTTTTTACTAAAAGAAAATTGGTTTGAATAGAATCCTTTAAGTTTATTCTACAGAACAAAACTTGAAGGACTACTGGAATAGATTCTAATTAAACCTGAAAAATTCTGTCATCTGTCAAAGTTTTCTTTGTCAACAGTAAAGAGAACAAAATATCATTTTTAAAATTAGGACTTGTAAATATCATTAAAAAGAGCATACTCAAATGATAGGCATTTTTAAAGAACACTAATGTTTTATAAAAATGAATACATATTGCATTTTAGGAAACATGGTTTGAATCTCACTTCAGATTCTTACTAGCATATGACACTAGGCATGTCACTTATCCTCTCTGAATCTCACTTTTCCTCACCTGTAAAATTTGATTTGAAAATGTGTAAGTTCCCTTCCAACTCAAAAATTTTGATCCTATGATTCTATATTCTAGAATAGGCAACGGATTGTTAAAAATGAAGAAGGAATATTTTAGCGCGCCTCCCCCCCCAAAAATTGTACTAGCACAATACTTATTACTCTTATGTGGACTGTACTGTGTCTGTAGTACAATGTCCTCCTGTCCATCTGCCCTCATAAGTATAGTGCTAGCTCAGTTCAGCTCAAAGAAATACTCTTCCAGAATGAACTAGTCCTTTCAGGAGAGACTCTTAAGAGCTCAGTACAGGAGTGTGGCACAGGAATTGAGACCTGTAAAACCAAGGGGAAAAACTCTGAGGATTGGTTCTGTTTCTGATGTACTGTTAAGTTAGTTTGAGTTAAAGTATGGGATCAGGTCAGGAGCCTAAGGGAAGAGGAAACTAATGGAAATTCCAGAGATGACCCTAGAACTGACTTGTTGCTTCTTTTTCCTCCCTATGTGTCTTTTCTGTTGTTTCTCAACTAAAATCATATTGCCAATAGAGGAAAATATTCAAATTATCTACATTGAACTGCCCTGGCCTCTACGCCTCAGCAATAGAACTTAAAGGCTCAAATATGAAGAGCCAGGGATGACTAAATAGTAGGAGCAAGATTCAGGAAAGTAAATAAAGCTTATAGATTTTTAAAAGTAAGGGCCTTTTCAGTAAGTTTTGCAACTGGTAATAATTGCCTTGATTGCTACTGATTTAGAAACATCATCTGAGCATTAGGACAAAGCCAGAGGAGTTTCTGGAGAGATTGCTTAGAAGATAAATCTCTTCATCTTTTCTTGCTCCAAATTCCAAAACAATTCTGGAGGTTCCTAGAGCATTATAAGACTCCATTGTCATAGGCTTTTAGATGTAGAGAATCCCATCAGCCTGTAGTTCTAGTGATCTGCTTACATTTCTGGTGTTCAATCAGTGGGACAAATGGGAGGTGTTTCCATTCCCTAGGAGCTGTGAATTGTTATAGTACCACTAAGAACAACAAGCTAGATAGTTCTTAATTAGCCTAGTAAACATGAATCAAATCGAAAGTACCCATTCACATGTTGTTCAGAAAACACATTCTTTGACTAAGTTTTCTTACATCACACACTTTTGAAGAAAAGCATTTAAGTACTTACTATGTTCAAAGCACCATGCTAAGCACTAGAGTTACAAATAGAAAAGTAAGACAGTTTCTGCTCTTAAGGATATCACCTTCTAATAAAGGAGACAATATAGATAGGTTTCAGCTGCAAGCCAGATGGAAAAGTCCCATGGTTCTTAAGGTGTGGTAACACCCTAATAATGCTTCTTTAATGTCATTTCTACTGATAAAATCATATGTTTCTAATGTTGAATCATTTAACAATGCTAAGGAATTTGGTAGCAAAAACTTTTGCTTTGGTTTATATGAATTCACTCGTACAATTTTTAAAAATCTGGTTTTATGATGTTTTTGTCAGGCATGAACTCAATTACAAGGAGACAGTAGGAAACAAAACAACTGAATTACTTGTCTTTAATTGTTATGCATTTATTTTCATACCATTTTGAAATTCTTGTTTAAATCAATTTTATGGCTTTTAAAATACTGAAATAACACCATTTTTAGGATAGAAGTACTACACACTCATCTTTTGTTAAGCATGCTACATAAGATTGCTCCAGCTTTGCCTTGTGATATTTTTCCTGCTTTGATCATAATTTAATTAAATCTATATGTGTTTGGAAATGTGAGATATTTTTATGCTGTTATTAATGATTATCGAAGAGAGTTCAATCTTTAATCATTATGGTAGACGTTGCTTTTTCTTGAAAAAAGCTTGACTGCGCACTTTCATCAGTGGACATTTTAGTATGAAGAGGCATATCAGTTTACATCTGTTTTTTTTTTTTTCGTGAAGGGGAATACACCATAAAACACTGGGATGCCATGTGTAGACACTGTTCTGAGGTACCACTCCAAATTCTCATATGATGTATGTCATAGGCATGTTTTAATTTCTCAGTGCATTTGTGAAATACTCTCAGATATATGTAGATGGGCAACATGCATCTTTTATTAGAATCTTGCTCATTAGCTAGATTTGAAACACAAAACCTTTTGGGACCAGCATAGCAAATTTAAATAGACATCAGTTACTTCTGACCTAGACACTAGGATGATGATTTACTATATTATGATATTATGATTTGCTATAATTGGAAGTTTGTTAGGTTTCTGGTTCCCTGTTGGGGCAATTTCCTAATATCTTCAAATCTGTCATTTAAAATGTCATTAGTTTATCTTTTATTGCTTTTCAGTAACATTCTTCACTCTGTAACCATGGTAACTTGCCACTTTCATGGAGAAGACTGAATTGGTTTTAAAGTTTAGTCCTCAAAAGGAAAAAGAAATGCATTCAAGAATTTAAAGATATGCAGATTTCAAAAGGCCATAAGAATCTTCAAAAGATCATAAGAATCTTTTGAAATCAAACTAGAAGATAAATTAAAGGTAATCTAGTATATTTTATATATGACTAAACTGAAGTCATATAGCAGAGGTGGGACTTACCCATAGGCCTCATGACCTTATGACTCCAAATCCAATTCTTATTCTAGAAAAAAAAAAGTGAAATCCTAGTTATTGTTTGTTTTGGTAATCCTGACCTGTAAAATTATGGTTCTAGGGAATTTCCAGTCAAGAAAGTCCCTCTAATAATAAGTGCTCTCTACCAACTCTACTCTACCAACATTAAGTATTTTGTAGTCTTAGAGCAGTCTTAATATCTACATGAACTGGCCTTACAGTTAGACCTTTCAATGTATCATAATCATCTATAAAAAAAATAACCCTTGAAATTAACTTTGCCAACATTTCATTTTTTTAATTTTTTAAATCACTTTCAATAACTGAACAAAAAAGAATCGTTAATATTACTTCTAAATAAATTTGTTATGCACTTCATGTTGATAGAAATTATGATTGAATAGTATCAGTGGTTTCTAGTCTTTTTGGTCTGAAACTGATTAATAACTCCAGGTGAAGAAACTACCTCTACCAATCCAGATCAGCAACTTTTCTGCAATTTATAGTCTGAAAGAGTTGCATGGGGGCACTAAGAGTGCGACTTAGCCAAAATCACATTGCCATTATGTGTCAGAGGTAAGATTTCGCCCTAGGTCTTCTTGACTTTAAGGCTGACTGCATCAACTGTGCTATCTATTTAGCTCTCACTTTATAGTTAAAACTTTAAATATACATGATTTCATTGATTTAGCCACTTGTTTTGCCAGTCCATGTCACAGCCCCTCCATAGCAGTCTTTATGAGTTGCTATGGCTTAAAGAATTCACCACCTGGTGACAAGCTTTCTGAGATTAGCCCCCTCAAATTTATCTAGATTTGTCTTTGAATAACAGGCATAGATATCACTGTGCTCTACTTGAAGCATTTTGAAGTAGCTCTGTATTTAATGCCTATTTGACTTTGGCCATATCATATAGAGGGCAGCTAGGGCAGTCAGGAAGACTCATCTTCTTGAGCTCTAATCTATCCTCAGACAATTACTAAATCTGTGGCCCTTTGGAGGTCACTCTAACACTATTTGCCTCAGTTCCTCATCTGTAAAATGAGCTGGAGAAGGAAATGGCAAACCACTACTGTATCTTTGCCAAGAAAACCCCAAATGATGTAAAGAAGAGTCAGGCACCACTGAAAAACAAAAGAAATGAAAATGCCATCCAAAGGGGGAAAAAAATCTATCTATATTGCTTGCTTCTAATTCCTCAGCCACTCATCACTTTTTAACCATTTAGGAGTTTCTAACCTGACCAAATAACTGAAGCTCTTCTCTCCAAAGTTTTTAATTCCTTATTCAGTGCTTTTTCAACCACATTATTTTGCAGGGTTTTTTTCTTTGTGTTTATCTGTGAATAGGACACATTTCAGTTTAATTAGCATTAAACACCTACTATGCTCAAGGTAGCTTTTTCTAGAAATTCGATTGTGCAGAAAAGGAGAGATAGGACAGCCTTAGAGATGATAGATAGGGTCAAGTGACTTTAAGGATGGGGACAATCTGGAAATTTAGTAGGAAAAAAAGAAAGCACTTAATGGTTAAAGAAACTGTTGTTGTACTGAAAAATCAGCAAGCAAGACCCAGACACAATTTGAAATGTGAATTTATTAGCCTGCGGCTGCAAGATCGAGCAGCCCTGATCAGGGGTAGGGCTTGGGTTTATAAAGGCAGAAGCCACAGAGTAAATGGTCAGGGGTTGCATAAGCAGGAAGTTCTAGAAGCCAAACAAGCAATTGGTTAATCCTGCCTTTGGGACCATATAAGGATCATGAAATAGATTGGGGTGGAAATCCTTCTTGGTGGAAACTTCTGCTTCCATGAAGGAGGGCATACAAGATGGAGGTCAGAAAACAAAATGGAGTCCAGTACATGGGGCTCAGTACTTCCCTGTCGGTGGGGCCTAGTGCTGGTAAACTAAAAGGCAGCTCTGAGATGGGAGGGGATGCAATGAAGGGCGAAAGTAAAGGGTTTGACTTTGCTAAAAAGAGCAATCTCTTCAAGACAAACACAGTAGGAAAAATTGGGGGAAGATGTTGAGTGAATTGAGGTGCAGAATTGGGGAGAATCGGCAGCATGTCTTCAATTTTCCTGACCAAGTATGATACAAAACCCACCACTCAAAAGGAGAGGGAAAGGGTTTACATGTGGCTTGAGAG